TCCCTGGCTGCAAATCAAAGTTGGTCTCTTCAAAAACTCGATGTGAAAAATACATTTCTACGTGGGATATGGTATGCACACCCACAAATCATAGCAAGGTATGCAAACTAAAAAATCCAAGAGCATGGTTTTAGAGATTCGCTCAAGCTATGTTGAGGTATGGTTATCATTAAAGTCATGGTGATCATACTTTGTTCGTTAAACATTCTTCCCACGGAAAGGTGATCATCGTGTATGTTGATAATATTGTATTTACTGGCGATGATGTAGAAGAGATGGTGAAATTAAAGGGATATTTGGCTCAAGAATTTGAGATAAAAGATTTTAGAAAGTTTAAAGTATTTCTTAGACATTGAGGTCGCGAGATCTACACAAGGCATATTCATTTCATGGCAAAAGTATGTGCTTGATCTACTTAAGGGGACAAGTATACTAGGGTGCAAGCCTGTTGATACTCTGATTGATCAGAATCATAGATTGGAAGAGAGTGTTGATGATACTCGTGTACATAAAAGGCGATATCAGATAATAGTGGGCAAGCTCAGTGTGGTAAATTAGTTTATGCGCTCATCTCGTGAGTCTGATATGGAAGCAGTTTATCGAATTTTGAGGTACCTTACTTTTTTCTAGACATTATACCTTTTTATGAAAAAATTTGGCATCATGGCATAGCAAAAAACTGTCGGTTATGGCCAAATCTAGTGCAAAGGTAGAATTTAGAGCTATTAACTATAGTATTTGTGAATTGTTGTGGCTGAAATTCATATTAGATGAGTTTGGTTTTAATTCTAAGGAATCGATGAGATTGTACTGTGATAATACGGCAACAATTAACATTGTTCACAATCCAGTTCTGCATGACAATGTCAAGCATGTTGAGGTCCACTGACATTTTATCAAGGAAAAATTGAGGACCGGCTTAATTTGTACTTCTTTAGTGAAGACAGGGGATCTGTTTGCAAATCTCTTAACAAAAGGAGTATCTAGTAAAATGATTCATTCAATTGTTGACAAGCTGGGCATGTGTGATCTTTGCATCAACTTGAGGGAGAATGGTAGTAGCTATTTAGCCTGTTATTTTTATCTTTATTATCATGAAGGATACTTTGGTCTTTTTGATATTGAACTATACATATAAGTGATAGAGATAGAGAACCCTAACTCTCTCCTCTTTTTCAGCCTTCTTTCTTTTCTTTTTTTCTTCTCTATTTCTTCCCTTTCTCTTTATATTATTAGCCAATACATAGGTGAAGTGCCATATTTGCTCGAATTCAAATGCGATACGTCTCAGAGGGAAAAAATATATACGATGACAAAGTACATGCTTAGTCGAATAACTACCTTGACCAGGAGAATTCAACAAACTATTCATCAAAATGGTATCATATCCAACAAGTCTGTTAATCAGAAGTTGCTGCCACCTGGACACAAGATGATTTCCAGATAAATATGTTAGTACGATCCACGGGCATATATACCACTCAAATTTTGCACAGCAGCAAGATTTTGATAATTTTTGGGTTTAAATATATATTTCAGCCACTAAACATCATAAAAATCAGCTGTGTAAGTTTTCTTGGGTGTTTGAATTGCATTAGAGCATTTAAATAATATGAGAATATAATTTATCCTCTGTATTAGGGCAACTATAAAAATTATATGCATAGAAATTAGTCTAAGAAGATAAATCAACATCACCTGTTTCCAAAACAGGAATGCCTGGCTGATATGCTAATATTGATAGTACGAATGTTGTGCCGAGACTTGGCTTCTTCGGGGAGTAAGAAATATCCCTACACATCAAATTCACTTGCAACATTAGGAAAGGGAAATGCAATGTAAATGAGCCTCAGAACTTAGACGTAAGAGTATGGGTAATACTCGGGTGAATATTAATGGTACACATCTTACATTCATGCATCTACATGTCATGTACCTAAAAAGGGAAAAAAAATAAATTAAGTAAACCTTGCCTTTTCCATAGTGTACAAATAAGTTGGCTCAAATGCTTTGCTTGTCTTTTCAAGCCACTGCACTGAAATAATAAAGCACTCTTTAAGGTAATGAAAGAAAACTGTAATAATCATAAAACATACCACCACTTTTTAGCATCCCCGAAAGTGTAGTTGCAGGCGTAAAGAAACAAATGAAGCAAAAAAACTGATATAAGGGGAACGATTGTCAAATCAAGATTCATATAATCAATCACTATCCCATTGTTCAGAATCTGAATAGCATCGAATCAAGAGTATACAAGACTAAGAAACATAAAAACTCTCAAAAGCCTCTGGAACTATTTACATAAAAAGATCTCTTTTAACGGATAGTCTTTTACCAACAATCATCCCTCAGAATGCCCTCAAAATATGCACCAGTACTGGGCATTTGGGCTCATTTTATGCATGCCCCAATTTGTTTTTCACTTACAATTATGCTACAGGAAAGTTAAATCAAGTATGCAAGGATTGTTGGTGACATGTCAAGCATCCAAGTAACAATCATGTGCCACATAACTGAAATAAAAAGTTCAGTTTTGAATTATGGACACCTTTAATCAAGGTTTTAATGCCATCAAGAAGTTATATGAGTTCTCTTAGGTGGCATTTGGTAACATTCATATCTTTAGTTTTTTAATATTCTCAGAATTTCTAACTGTATTTGTAAAAATATTGATAGTGGGAGAACCTAAAAGTATAAAGCTTTACCTGCATAAGAATTAAGCCTATCCAGATGGAGTATACGTAGCCACTTAGGAATATCAATATTCAAATGTATACCTGCAATATCCTGCACTTAAACATTCAATATCAGCAAAGAGGTTCAAGTTGCAATCCAACAAATCAAGTTAACAAAATCCCGCACAGTTGAACTTTTTTTTAAATCTATTTTAAACCAAAAAGGGGAGAAAGAGATATCAAAATAAATGAAAGATCCTTATGCGGAACTTGTGTACCCACCTATTTCTTAGCCCTCTTTAAGATGCCAGGGAAGCTGGCAACAAAGATTTGAGGAAAATAATGAGGGATTTTTACTGGGAAGGGAGTGGTAAGGGCTAGAAAGGCAACTTATTTAACTGGGAAGTGGCATCCAGATCTAAAGATGAAGGTGGCTTTTTGATTGGAAATCTTAAGGCATGAAATCTGGCTTTAGTAGGGAAATAGCTTTGAAGATATCCTTTAAAACAATGGATGGGACCATAATAGGATTGGAGGGGAAGTTTCCAATGTCCATGGAAATTCAGTTCTTATAAGTTACCCAAGTTCTCTTAAAATGTTAAATTTGTTGTGGGTACTCGCGAAAGGATTTGCTTTTGGAAGGATATATGGGTGGGAAGCTATCTCTTTCATGCTTATTCCACGTCTTTATCATATCACTTATGCTCATAATGCTTCAGTCACTTCCTAATTTGATCTAATGATCATTCAATTTCTTGGGATTTCAGGTTTCAGAGAAATCTACGTGATAGAGATACTTTGGTTTGGCCCGTTTGGGTTTCACTTCTCTCTTTGCTTTATGACTCTAATCTAAATATGCATCATGTGATAGAAAAGTATGGTTTCTTCAGTCTTCAGATCTCATAAATCCTACTCTGATCCGCTAATTAATGATCTTGAATGTCCATTGTTTTTTCCATCTTCGATTATACAGAAGGCGAAAGTGCCTATTAAGGCGTAAATTTGTGCATGGACTATAACTTGAGGTAAGATCAATGCCAATGATATGCTTCGGAGAAGAAGACCTTTCACTTGTCTTTCTCCATAATAGTGTGTGATGTGTAGTTCTGATAGTGAAGTGTTGATTATTTATTTTTGCATTGTCCTATTGCTTTTTTCTATGTGGAACAAATTGTTTAATCTAGTAGGTATGAGTTGTGTATTCCTTAGCATCTTTTGTCCATGTTTGTTGAGGACTTCAAGTGTTTCGGAAGGCATAACAAAGAGATGACGCTTGGGAATTGTGAGCAAGAATGTTTCACGACCCATGCAAGCTCGTGGATGGTATATGGGATCGGCCCGATCTAATTTATTTTTGCATCCTTTTGGGCTTCGGTTTCTAATGTTTTTGTGAGAATTTCGCTTTTTTGCATCTTGGCGGGATGGAGACCATCAAGTGATTCAAAGATTATTGTCTTTGTGTCTTTATGTTCTAATTTCTCCATAAAAAGTTTGGACTGTTGGTCCACCCTTTTCATTTGAGCTAATTTATGGGTAACAAGCTGCTGAAAATATTTAATTAATGTTTCTTCACAATTTTAAAGTCAAGGGTACTTTGTTCTTCCTATTTATTTCTGGATATGGACAGTATTCACACTCCATAAGTCATAAATGAGTCAAATAATGTAATTTGGTTTTTGTTTGGAGTCCCATAGAACAGTGTAGAGTCGAGGAGTCATTTGATGTGTAATGCAGTCTTACCTCAACTGGTGATTCCCAAGGGAATTCTAGCAAGATTCCTTTTCCTTTTTTTTTCTTTATCCGTCTTCTTCTTCTTCTTCTTTCTTTGCATTCATATCTGAAATCAGACCACTAAACCTTACTATATCTAACTTCTAATCCTTACAGTACAAAGCCTATACCTATTCTACCATTAAAGGCCAAACCCCAGCACTCAAAATGACCCAAGTAAATCAAAAAAACTGCTCTCGAATTATTGTTCACAGCCCCATTAAAGTCCCTTTCCAGTCCCAATTACTCACCATGGGTAGGGTAATATGTTGTGGTTTGCTGGTAGTTGACATGGCCAGTCAAGTCACACCAAAACCTTTTAATTACATGCTGCCTAAACCATTTACAGCACCTTTTCCTTGAAAATCCGCACTCAAACTGTTGCAATATATATATTACTTATATTACACCCTTTCTACCAACATAAGTTTTTAGGTGAGACGGTGGCATATAAACTAACTGGAAGATGAACTGATTCATATAATAGAACCCTCAAACAAAAGAAAAGCAAATACCATTCATCCTATTAGTATCTGTCTATCCGAAGATATTAAATCACAAATAGCATGGCATCTCTGGTTTTCTATAGTTACAAAAATCTTCCCCAAATATACTCACCCACAAACCTCGAAGAATTCGCTTTGCAAGTCTCCAAATGAAAGACAAACGCCCATACCACTTTCTGCCAAGATGAATTATTGCTGTTTTAAATGATTCCTTGGCGGATGTAAGAAACCTGCTACGTGGCTCGTCTTTATTGATTCTAAGGACTGTATCATCAACTACGGCCTTAAGGCTTTCACAGCCAGCAGAAGTCTCTTGTTGAGGTTCGAGAAATTCATTATCAGTCTTCCAGAATTTCAAAGCAAATTTGCCTCTCCAAGCACCAGAACCAAACCAATTCAACCAAAACTTTGGCCCATATCCATCCACATTTGCAAATTCCAGATTGTTGCTGTCAGTTTCCTTGTCAGGAACATTCAACAAAGTACATTCAGAATCATTTTGCGACCACAAGCCAGCACTGGTAATCTGCACCAGAAAAACAGGATAAACATTAAAAAAAAAAAAGGCAGCATATGAAAATCAGTTCAATTCACCATCAAAGCACACACTAAACCTCATTAAATATTTACAGGGCATGCTTAGAGGAGAGAAGGGGTAATTGAGGAACAACAAAAATAAAACTACCAAGAATCTTGCTAAATGACTGACTAAAAGGGTGCAGACAGAAACAAAGATGTTCAACACATTTGCGATGTCAACTATTACATATCCCAACCACTCAAACGCAACCTAGCATATATCGGTCAGCACTCACTTGGCAAAGCCTCATATTTAGCGAGATTTTTTGGTATGTTATACAAAGATGTACATCTTATTTCCAAGGCAATGATCATAGCAGCATCATTATAGCTGAGAAATGGTAAAAAAAACATTCACTGCTCCTGCTTTTACTCTCTTAAAAAAGAGCCATAAGTTTTCCAGACAAAAAGATAACTCAAAAACTATTTTTTAACAGCAACAGGAAATATTATTAATACCATGAATAATAGCACATGAGGGAAGAGTAGTACCCTAATAAAAGAAAAAAGAAAAAAGTATATATTATTTACTGATTTCCTCCAATCCATCCCAGTCAAATATAATGGAACTCCCACAAAATCATTTCACACTGAAACCCAACAAGATGTGAAGAAGTACATTCTATACAACAAAGCAATATCATCCTCAAATTTATCTTTAAAAATCCAGCGTTCATTTTGAGTCATTCACCCAAAGCAACCTCATCCTCAGATTTATCTTTAAAAATACTATCATACCTTTCCAGTCATTCAACCAAAAAGATTGTCAATACAACACATCTCCAAAGGTGTCGGCACAAGAAATAGACCCCAACATACAGTTAAAGTCACGTCCTTTGATTATAGCCGCAGAAATCAACTACAATCAGTCCTCAAATTGTCTACTGCTACGCTACAATGCTACATCAAGGTTTTGCACCTAGAGAAAGATTTGTTTCGGTACATTATTTCGATCACCTAAGAAACGAAAACGTTTTAACCGAAACGAGTAAAAAATTGAAAATTTAGTTTCAAAACATTGGTCGAAATATACTGAAAAATATTGGAGCATCCCGAAACATGTCGAAGCAATAGTGAAAACACCTTGAAGCATTGGCATTTCAATTCCACCTTGTCTTCCTCTAAACAAAAACATTTCGGCCATTTCAAATGAAATTTTGATCTAGAGCTTGCATGAGGGTGATCCGACACTTATCCAACGTTAGTCATAATACGCAAAGTACCCCGCAACCCTGATAAAGATAGGATTAGAAACCATCTAGAGACAGAGCAACAAGCTATCATGCACTTGCTGACTATGTTAAAAGGAAAGACCGCTGACTGCGTAAAAAGGGAAGGCTATTGAAGTACAATTGCTCCTAACCACACTAAACCACATAATACATGCTAGAACATGTCTCTGATGCAGGTTGCATCAGCCGTGTCACAAGGATAAAAAATTGACGTAAAATTATAAATTAACAGAACTTGCCATCATCCTGTGTTTACAAGTCATACTGAATTAAACACAGAACTACTCACGTCAGCCTTTTCAGTAATGAGCTTCCAAACCAAGGACGAATCAGGTTTGCAAACCTAACTCAATATGAGATGGAGGGAGAATGGTCGTATGCATTACGTTGTCAGGTCGCTTGATTAGTCAGAGATTTAGTTACTTAAGCTCTACACCCAATCTTCCCAAACACAGCAAGTAAGAGAAAATTCAGAATGAATAAATGATATTGTGTAATTCAGGCATCATTTATAAAGAATTGCATCCGTCGCCATAATTCATAGTTCTCAATTTAATACAACAAACAGTTTGCTAACAATTCACAGTCTAGAAATAAACTTGGCCCCAAAATGCAGTTTTCCTATTTAATATACGTAGGTAACCAAAAAAGATTATATGCGGCGAAAATTGAAATTAAAATTGACACTGCATTCACCACAGAAGATTACCCTGATCTGAATAAGTTGTGCTTCTGTCGTTTCAACTCCAGAGAGCTCACTTGAACAACCAGGCTTCACATAAAACATAACTTCATTTCAATCAGAATGATACAACTAAATTTATACGTAAACAAGCAATAAATAAGAAAAAAATGACAACATGCTAACCTAAAAAACAACCTTGTGTTAATGATACAACTTTACTTTTCCTTGAAAAAATATAGATGGAGGACTTATGAGACCCCTATATCTTATTGTCTCGTTAGGAGAATGGGTTCTTATTCTTGGGATTTCATTTTCTTTGGAGGCCTCAGTGATCAAGTAGTAGCAGATTTAGTTTCTTTCCTTGGCACTAACCAAAACGGTGGATAAATTTGGTATTTTCTCTTGTAGATATTTTTACACATTATTACTCTGATCAATATCATAACATGACTATTCCAAAGGTGAACCGCGCGTGACGGGATTTATCAAGTAGTACAGAGATTCCATGGTTCACAGATAAATATTTGACATGTAACTCGAACTAGTGTTTGCTGGGATCAGACCGAAACGCATAGACACCTAATATTTTTTTTTATGTAATTTACTAAACATCTTCTAGGTTAACCAGTTCCAATTAATTTGATGGTTTTCAGAATTCAGCTTGCTTTGTTTTGGGCCTTACACCTTGGCCTCAAACTTCCAGAGTCGACCTCACAGTATTTAATCTAAATAACAAATTTTCCACCGTGAAATATTGCAAATACTTTCCGTCTATACACAAAAATAAAATAAACAAGAAGCAGAAGTGGAATAGAGGGGTTGGTTTTAGATTACCTGTTGAACGTAATTAGCGTGCATAACAACAAGAATACAGAAAAGAGTGATGGCTAGGAGCAGATATATGTACTCCAGAGATGCTCGAATTCTCGGCGTCAGCATCTGTGAGAACCGCTCTTGTACCCTTATAAACGTCTGCTCTGGATCCATCTCCCTCTCTCTCTCTCTGTAATTGCCCTAGCTATAGCTCAACGTGGATCTATCTACGCAGTCTATGACCGACCGACCAACCCGACGAATCGTCAAAGATAGAGAACACTGTTTCTCGGGTCTTTGCTGGGGACAATCATCGTCAAAATTCACAGATAGAACTTGAAATCATGAGCTGAAGAAAAATGGACAACGGATAAGAATTAGTTTCGCTGTAAGGTTTGATGATTCTAATATTTAAAATATTATACTTCAACCACTAAAATTTATACTCGCGTACCGTTCCGTTAGCTTCGGTCGTAAATATATTTATTAATAAATTATATTTAGATCTCTTAAGTTTAAAATATTATAATTAGACAAAAATATTTCAATCAAATATAAAATGTTAAATATTTTAAATTTTACGATTAAAATTCATGTTCTATTTATCTTTTATTAAAATAAAATTAAAAATAAAAATTCAATTTTTTCTTAAAAAATTGTAATTAATATATAATTGTGTTGTCTATTGAAATTTAACTTGGTCGATTAAACGATCAAATTAAAATATCAAACTATCCCAATTAAAGTTAAAAGATATTGTGTTCATTACAATTTAACCTCTTATTTAATTTTTTTAGTTATATTCTAATAGATAGTATAATTATATATTAATTATAATTTAAAAAAAAATAACTTTTATTTTTTATTTTATTTCAATAAATGATATAATAGAATATGAATTTTGGATGAAAAAATTATGTTCTATTATGAATGACTTAGACCCCTAATTTGATTTTTTTTGTTTTATTTCAATAGATAATATAATTGTATATTTATTACAATTTTGTAAGAAAAAATTAAGTTTTTAATTTTAATTTTATTTCAATAAATAATACAGTATAATAGAAAAATATTTGATATTCTATCTTTGATTGAAGTATTTTTTGTTTAAGTATAATATTTTAAACTTAAAGTAAGTATTATATATCTACAAACTTTAAGGAAGTTTAAGTATAATTTATTAATGAATATATTTATGGCAGTGGTCTAAGTGTTATGCATGTATAAACCTTAGGGGGTTTGTGTATAATTTTTCAAATGCGTAAGATTTAAGTAATTAAGTGACAAATTTCAAAGGTCTTGATGTAATTCTTCCAATAATATAATAACTCATTTACTTTGGTAACATTTTTGTTTTATATTTAAAAAAATAATTTTTTTTTCTATGATAAAAATAAAAAACATAAAATATATTTGATAGTCGTTTATATTTAACAAATTATGAAAGTATAAATAAAAAATATATTTGGTAACCACTTTCATATTTGACCCAAATTATTAACTTTATACTATTTTCTACTATAAAAACAACTCAAAATTCTTTATTCCAACATATCCACTAAGCTATAATTCTTAAGATTTCAGTAGAATAACTGTGATAGCCAAAAAATACATTAATTCTGCACATGTTAAGAGTAATGAAAAGAAAATGAAAGAATAAATACCATTAAAAAAAAAAGAAATAACAAATTTCCATTATGAGTTCTTCTCCTCCAACGACAACCCGTTATCCAATCCACTTTTTGTCCTGTACATGAACACAACACAGCCAGAGACATGATTGAAGAACCAATCATAAACATCACACTTGAAATTTTTATTAAACCTGTTTAAAAGAATTACATAGAGGAAAGAGACATTATTGTACTCGATCATTAAGGAAAAAAAAAACCTCAAAAAGATAAAAGAGATAAAAACCAAGGACAAGCATGTTTTATTTCCATGAACATCCCACGTGCGATCAACCAGTAAACCATCAACAAAAATTGTACGACTCCCTTTGAAAATTCTATTGTAGCCTCTTTATCCGAATCACTGTCTTCTTATCAATAGATACCGATAAAATCGGATGTTTCAGGCCTTAATTTTCTCCACTACGCTGCCATTTTTTATCTTGAAACTAGTGAGAATTTAGCATGCTACAAATCCAACAGAAAACTACTTGCCACAAATCCAAAAATATAAATCTTAAGATTTCAATGGAGAATTTGGAGTTAAATGAATTAGGCTTCCATTTTTGGATTGCCAATCATTTTTAGATGTTGAAAATTTAACTTCCACAATTAATCAAACATGTTATGCTCAACACATTAGCAACACACACATACACAAACATACGCACACACATACATACGCAACACACCTATCAGATAAACACACACCCACACTGACCCATACACAACACTCCCATTGAACAAACACATACACCCCAACACAGACCTGTACACAAATACACAAAGAACACATCAAAACATACACAAAAAATTTCAGATCTATGTATATATTTATATATATATATATATGTGTGTGTGTGTGTGTGTGTGTGTAGATCTATATATATATATATACATAGACGAGAGAGAGAAGAGACGACCATGAGTAGCGCCAGAGAAGAGACAATCGCTGGCAGAAGAGAGCAGCGTTGTTGTCTTTGCTTCGTTCGTCATAGAGGAGCAGACAAGAGAGAGAGAGTCACATACGAGGGAGAATACGGGAAAAGAGAGTGAAAGAAGAAAAGGTGGTTTAAATATCCTAGGCTAAATGTCCCCTTAATTTGTTGCTAATGGGGTTCGGTGGCAGGACCTCATTAAAATCCCTCAGCCCTGGCGTTGTTTGCGTTTTTGGTGTTTTTGAAAACACCTATTTTCATGTTTACATTTTTTGGCCTTGTTTTGAAAACAACTTTGCTTAGGAAAAAAACAAAAGCACATTTCAAACATGTTAGTATTATTTATTTTTTTGTAAAAAGTGAAAACAAAAGAAAGAAAAAAAAACACACAAACAGATAGTTACCAAACGCAACATTAATAATTGAAAGAAAAAAAAAACAATGTTAATAAATGCGTTTGGTCACTGTGTTTTGTTTTCACTTTTTGTAAAAATTAAAAACATAAATGCTCATTTTAGCCACCATTTTGCAAATAGGGCAAAAATTTGAAAACAAAAATAAAATTATTTTTAAAAATATGAAAAAACTGCAAGCACGTAGGAATTAGGGAGATTTTAATGATATCCATCTTTTGAGCTTCCTTAAGACCATCTCTAAACTTAAACCCTGGGTAAGAAAGAAATGAAAAAACTTAATTTGATATAGACTTTTTCAATGGAAAACCTTTAATTTAAATGAAGACAAACCCAAATTTAAATGAAGACAAACATAAATTTAAATAAGGATAGAATATGATCATTAGATCTTTTAAAAATAATAAAAATCTAACAATTGGTGATTTGAGTAAATATTTGAGAATTCTTTGATTTTGGTAAAAATTTGGATCTCCCCAAATTTGATGAGTTTTGGTATAACATTGGAGAAAATTTTAAAAGTTTTTTTTTCCTAAATTTAAATTTGAATTTTTAAAAGGGTAAGGGTTGGAGACAAACTTTTTTAAAAAAAAAGGGGGGGGGGGGGTTGGAGATGCTCTTATAAGCAAGAGTAGAGCTATTTAGGCATAAAAAATTGACCTAATTATATGATTTTATTATAATTATTGAGTTAACATCAAGTTCTAATATTTGATGAGACTTACAGTTCATTCAATAGTTGTAGTAAATTAGATCAATAAATTAAGTCAATAAATTAGATCCCAATAACATTATTATATAAGCAATCTCTCTCACTTACACTAAAGTTCTCTCCCTTTGTGAAATGCTCTCTCTCATTGAAGCTCTCTCCCTATGCAAAACTCTTTATTTGACTAAAGCTCTCCCTTCTATCGTAAGTTTTCTTGGTTTGAACTCTATTTCAAGCTCTCTTTTTTAAGCCTTCTCTCACTCAAATGTAAGATATATTATGTATATTATATATATACACTAGTTATTGTCTATGCCTAAAATCGCGGAATAATAAAAAAATGATTTAACAATAAACATATTTATATTTACATGAAAAATTAAATCACAAACATAAATGATAGAACAAGAAATTTAAGCACCGGTTGTAATTGGGTGAACAGTGGTAATGGTGGTAGGCGATAGTGATGTGGTGAGAGACGGTAATAGTTATGGTGGGCGACGACAACCGTTGTGGTGGTTGTAGTCGTGAATGGTGATGGTAATGGTGGATTTTGAGTGACGATGGTGGTAGTGACAGTCATGAGTAACAACGGTGGTGTGGTGGGTGTTGGTGGTGGTGGGCGATGACGATGGTTGGTTGTGGTTGTAGGCAGTGACGATGGTGGTAGTGAACGATGATGGGTGCTTTTGGACGACAGTGTGATGGGTGGTGGCGAATAGTGGTGGTAGGTGCAGTGGGGGTGGGTGACAGTGGCTAGCGACAATGGTGGGTGACGATGGGTGGTGGTGGGTTGGTTGTGGTGATGGTGGTGGGACAGTAAGGGTGGTGGGGTGGCGATAGTGATAGCAGTGATGATGATGGTGAGGCGGTAGTAGTGGTTATGGTGGTGATGCGGTCGTGGTGGGATAATTCAAAACACTATTTTTTTTAAAGTACTCATGAAAAGTTATAAGTTCTAAAAGCACTTTTAAAAATTCACCCAAAACGCACCATCAGGAGCCCATTTTTCTTATTAAATTTGGAGAGTTAATATTAGCCGTCGGATTAACTTTAAATTAAAATTTTAAAATATCTCAACCGCAAAAAATAAAAGTCATTTTGTTTATCTCTTTGAGATTTGAATTGTACTATACTTGCAGTGGTGGTGGTGGGGTGGCAGCAGTGGTGATGGTGGTGGTTGTGGCGGTGGGACGGTTCCAAACACTACTATTTTTTTTGAAGTGTTTACGAGAAATTATAAATCCTAAAAGTCACCTCAAACACACCCTAAAAAGTCTATTTTTCCTATTAAATTTGAGGAGTTAATATTTGTTGTCAGATTAACTTTAAGTAAAATTTAAAGAGATCTCAATCACAAAAAGTAAAAAATTATTTTATTTATCTTTTAAGATTTTAAATTTTATTGTACTTTATTATATAAATGAATTTCCATATATATGCAAATGTATACAAAGATGTGTGTTGTGTGCGTTTTTGTGTACATGTATGTGTGTGTGTATGTGCATTCTCTTCAATATCCTTAATGTTGTTGAAACAAGAGTAATGGAAATGACACATATTAGCCCTCCTTGTTCATATCGACTCGATACACATGTGTGTTTTGGTCGCGAGGACCAAATAAATTATGGTCGATATTTTCTACCCTTGTCTACGATGGCTTTAGCATGATGATTATTTCACATGAGTTAATGAGCACCACACGATGGCTTTGTCAGGATTGAAGCGCTACCATTACACCAAAATCCACAAGTTTTAGTAAAGACGCAACTTAAATCTCTTAAACCACGGCATCATAGAGCCCTGCATCTATACCAGCTATAGTTGGGCTTAAGGGACTTTGCACTGCACCAGTGAGATAGGCTGTCAAGCACCGATGCCACGCCCATACATGGCAACGAGTGCATAGGGTGATCGTTAACCCCCCATAAGGCCAACAATCTCCCCTCCCCCCCAAGCGACACTTGGGGGACTCAAGCCTGCAATCGCGCTCTGATACTAATTGTTAGGAGCGAAACACTACGATTACACCAAAACCACACAAGTTTTAATGAAGGCGTAACTTAAATCTCTTAAAACGTGACAAACATAGAGCCCCGCGTCTATACGTGTTGTAGGTGGGCCTGAGTGGCTTCGTAGTGCACCCTTGGCACATCGACGGGACAGGCTATCAAGTACTGATACCATGCTCATACATGGTAGTGAGTTCACTGGGTGATCGTTGACCCCCCACCCCCACCCCAAATAAGGCCAATATGGTTCACTAGTGACAAATGAACATAATGTCATCAAGCCCATTTGGGATGGAGAAAGAATAAATGGACTATTTTCATGCTCATTTTTCGCGGTTTCAATTTGATATTGTATTGTACATTACTCTTATTAGTATTTGTACTAGTTGTTAAGATTTTAATTAAGTAAATGGTATTTGATGTGGGAAAAAATTAATTGTATCATCGGGAAAGCTCTAAAGACGCTCAAACACCTAGGAAGTTATCATTGGAGGTTTTGACCCACCAGTGTCCCCCTCCCCACTTCATCTTTCTCCTTTGAGGGTTAGGTTCCTACCCCAACCAACCTTGACCCCCTATTGCTCTCACACTCCACAGAAACCATTTTTCCTTGTTTTTTGAACTCACATACCCTCTGCATAGCCATCTTTTAATTCTCATAGGTTTCAAGCTTCGAATTTACCTTAAACTTATCCAAACATAAGGTCAAAGTTGATGAAAAACAACTGTTTTCATAGTAAGCCAGACATACAACAACTATTTTGACCACTCAAAAGACCTCTAAAGTTATTTTTTAGGCTATAGATGGATTCCTATGGTTCAAATTAGCTAGGGTGGAGATCAAAAACTTCCATGGCCGAAACTTCATAACCACCACCACACCACCTTCGGCCATGCCAAGCCTTCGAAACACCACCAAAACACTCCTTAACATCCCCTAAACATAACTCCATAAACCAATTAAGCCATTACACTTTGAATCCACATACTCATTTATAGAAACCATAAAACCCGAAACTTTAAACTTCAAATTCATGTATGTACAGCAACCCAAACCAAAAACTAAGGGCATAAATGAATTCCTAGCATCCAAATTAAGTTAGAAGTATACCTCTTGATGCTCAAAATTGTCTCTGCAATACTTTGAAATTTTAAAGTATGTTTTCTCTCTCTAACTTCTTTATTTTCTCTTTCTATCTTCCAAACCGTTTTCCTCTTCTTTTATACCTCCTAGCAGTTGAGACAAACTCTTTGAAGCTGCTAAATAAAGTTCATGCAGCAAAAAGAGCCCCATCTGACAACTTGCCATATCTAGAAGAAGCTTGAAGCTTCTAGTGGCGTTTCGGTAAATTATAATTATTGCTGAATTTTGAAAATTAATTAAAATATTTTTAAAAAAAAATTACATACATATTAAATAAATCACTAAGAAATTTTTGATTAAATTTTTGGGACTCAAATTGACCCTCGATTTATCCGTGAACACTATCCTCACACCCCTAACTCTTCGGTACGTGTTAATCCTAATTAGCTCGATTATGCTTATAGACTTGATTTCTCTTCATCAATCACTTTTATTTCGGAACGGGCGGGATGTTTATGTTTTAAAGAAGACTATAACGAATTAGGCTATCTTTGATGTTGACTCAAATGTTTACTAAAATTTGAGGGAAAAACTTGATTTAATACATTACACTCCAATAGATAAACTTAAATTTAAATGAGAGCAAGCTAAAATTTAAAGTTAGACAAACTCAAATTTAAAGGAATGTGAAATATGATCCTTGAATCTTTTAAAAGAGTGAAATATAACATTTGAAGATTTGAATATCTTTTAATTTGAGTATTCATTCGTTTGATATAGATTTGAGTAAAAAATTGGAGGTTATTTGTAGTCTATTTTTACTAAAATTCAAATTTAAATTTAAGTAAGGGTTTTAGTAAGGATTGAAGATGCCTGTAGTGATTGAATTCAAATTTCAATACTTCATAGTTTTTTTAAAATATTCGAGATGTTTCTATCAATATTTCATAGTAATGTGAAGTGTTTTAAGATATTTTTGTATATTTCGATTAATTTTTCAAAATACTTTGAAATTTTGTGAAAAATTTTACTTGTCTCGAATCTATTTTAAAAATATTTTTGTTTTTTGGATTACCAAAATAATGTATGAAAACAAATTTTTAATCATTGTCACTTTTTAAATACACATAAATTGTCACCCAATCAATTCCATTATGAACTCCAAAAATATTCTCTAAAATTTGTACACCCTTGTACAGTGTACATTCACACGTTTTTTGTTTGTTTTAATTGCTGGTTCGGGTTATCACACCCGATCTAGCGAACGATGGCTACAGTGACTATTATCAACGCCAGTCTGAATGCGTATCCTTTGTCCCTTTCCATCTCAAAGACAAACATCTTTTGTAATCTCATCTCGTTTGTACGTTTTTTATGTCCATTAGGACTCTCTACTCACGTGCACTACAGAGCTGTTTTCAACTTGAAGTAAATCAACTAGATTATTTACTATACTACCTGCTTATCTCTTTTATTTACATAAAGCCCAATACCTTTCCTAAACCCCTCACACTCACTTCACCACCAATACGCCGCCGCTCTAACCACCAACCACCATCCCAACGCCACAATGCAGGCTTCTTTGATCTCCCCCACCACCAACCCAGCCCTCAAATCTCTCTTCCCCTCGTGTGGATCCCATTCCTCAAAACCCCACACCTTCTATCTCCGTGCCTCAACAGAAACAGCCCCACCACCACCACAAACTGTTTCCACCACCACGACCATAGATCCATCTCAGAAACTCAACAAGTATAGTTCCCGTATCACAGAACCCAAGTCCCAAGGCGGTTCACAAGCCATCCTGTACGGCGTAGGCCTGTCAGATGATGACATGAACAAGCCCCAGATAGGCATATCCTCAGTTTGGTATGAAGGGAACACTTGTAACATGCACTTGTTGGGACTAGCTGAGGCTGTGAAAGAAGGGGTCAGAGAGGCTGGTATGGTTGGGTTCAGATTCAACACTATTGGGGTCAGTGATGCTATTTCTATGGGAACCAGAGGAATGTGTTTCAGTCTGCAGTCGAGGGACTTGATTGCCGATAGTATTGAGACTGTCATGGCTGCACAGTGGTATGATGGCAATATTTCTATTCCTGGTTGTGACAAGAATGTAAGCTCTACCTATTGTTTTTGCTTTGTATATTTAATTTTTACTTTCGTTCCGTTTGTTAGATGGCTATGTGTTGTTATGTAAAATATTTGAGCTTCATTGTTCCATTTTTGGGTTTTTTTAAAGGTATATTTGTTTTTTTTTCTGTGACAAAATTGTAAGCCTTTGTGTTTAGTTTTTCCTGCTTTATTTGATAATTAGATTTGATTTTAATTTTATGTGTAGGTTTTTGCTTACATTTTCAAAATTCTTGAGTTCTCTCGAGTGCTTATGAATTTGTTTCGGATAAGAACTTAGATATATTCCCTTTTTGGTCTTTGTCTTCTGGGGTGTGTGTTCTGGTGGCAAGAAGGTAGGCTATTGCTGTTTTGTTTGTAGGCTTTTCAGGTCCAGGTATTTGTGATTTTTCTTTGTGACATTGAGCCTAAATAAGCCAGCTGGTGGACTGGATAAATTTTAGTAAAAAGTGCCCGTGCCCATCCTGCTTCGCTCATGGCCATGTTAGGATGAAGAGATTGAACATGCTCAATTTACCTACGTACTTATTCCTTTTATCCTGTATTGTGATTCTAGCTCACCCTTTTGGTCTTTCTCACGCATATTCGAGGCCGTATGCCTGAGCTATTTGTTGTGAACGAGTTAGGGAGTCATGGGCGGAGCTATCATTGGGCTAGGAGGGGCACATGCCCACCCTCAAATTTTTTTGCTTAACATTAGCTATGTATTTTTGTAAATAAAATTTAAATATATTTAATTGTGCCCACCCAATTATTGTGTTCTTGTGATATGGATTAAGATAAAAAATTCATACCTAAATGATTCCTAACTTTTGATAAATGTTATTGGAACCTAATTTCAGTATCTAATATATTGTGACATTAAGTCGAATAATGAATTTTAATATTTAATAAAGTCCACTATCCATACGATGGATACGATTCAGATATGACTGAATAAGTTTTGGACATATTAAGGGTATTTTGTAAATTTTTAAAATTATATGATTATTTTATTATTATATAGAAATAAGTATCGTTATGTAAGAACTTATAGAGTCATAAATGAAAGTTTGTTACCGTGATTTTATATATAGAAAAAAAAAATATTTGTTGATGACATTGATTTGTAACACTTTCAAAAGATAAAAAAATTATTAGAGTCAATTGTAAATGATAATAATTAGTCTCATTTTTTGTCCTGAATTATAATTAATTTCTTTTTTATTTCTTGTGTACACGTGATGTAGATCAGTTTTTAATTTTTTATGTTTAATAAAATTTGAAGTTTTTAAATATGATTTCAACAAATATGAATTTATGAACTTTTACGACTCTAATAAAAATTAAAAAACTTCTACGATCAATTGAAAAAAAAACAATATAACTTATTAATGTGCCAACCTAAACTAATTTTCTGGCTCCGCCCCTTGGGGTCCATGCCAAATAACCCCCCTTCTCATCACAGCATGCAGAATTTATTCAGTTAGGGAAAACGGGGCGTTGAGAAAAAGAATGTGTAAATAGGAACTATGCTTGCCAGAATAGTGTGCACTTGTTGATAGGGTAGTGCAATTCTGATGGAGATAAGTGACAATGTTCTACGAAATTTTATAAATGGCATGGTAAAGACACTTCCTTGGTCCAAGCTTTGATTTGGCATGCATTGGACAATGTATTCCCTACCTGGTACAGTTCATAATTAAGTTCATATTTTATTGTTTATTTATATTTAATTCTGCTGATTCAATTATGTATATGTCTGTACAATGTTCAGGGGGCCAAGTGCATTTCTGTGGTTTTCAAAATTTTCTGAATAGGTCACAATAGTGACTTATGGGGTATTATTTTTAGTTTAATTATGCTTTTGGGTCACATCAGTTTGTTTATTTGGGTTAGACTAGGCTTACCTTTCTTGATTTCTAAGTTGTGGTAATCATTTCAGAGTAAGAGATCTCTTGGAGCTCGTATAAACATATGGGGTCATTAATAAATGATTACCAGAAATAGAGAATTTTTCAGGGCTTTTGAAGTCTCTTTTGGGTTTGTATGATGCAATCCTAAATTCCTAACCCTGGGTGTGATGTGGATTATAGGAGTGATTTATAGTTTTCTTTATTTTTCAGTTCTTTTCTTCTTAGATTTCTGCTTCTAAATACTTCCAAGTTCCAAACAGAGCTATTTAACTTTTGATTCCTAGAAACCTAATCACCAAATCCGTCCTTCCTCCAACAAATTTGAAACCCGGCCCATTTTAAATCATAAAACACAATTTTGCTGTTCATGAATTACTGTTTGCAGCCATGAACGACATTCTTTTTGGCACCAATATCTTTTTTACCCTAATCCCACAAGGGCCACAACTTTGTCCAGTTTGGGAATCAAATATTCTTACCAAACCATGGCTCGGCCCGCCTTCAGTAGTCTTTTTCATCTCTGTTCTAGGATATGTCAAAATATTCTAGTATGGACAATAGTGTAAATGCTTTCGATATCTTTATAATATGTTGGGAAATATTATCCTAGATAGAGGAGATTATTTTCACAACTCTCTCCCTCTCTGCCCCCATCATCTCTCAAACCCTATATTTTTACATATTTATAAGATATTTGTATGTTTATGTATGTGCCTTGTTCACTCAGTGGTTTTGTTCAGTATTTTCAGTACAGTGGTTTAAGTGGTACTAGGGTTGTTGAGTTGCTCAATTGTTTAGGAACTTAATATTACAACTTTTGCAGATGCCTGGTACGATTATGGCAATGGGGCGGCTGAACCGGCCGAGTATCATGATTTATGGTGGAACTATCAAGGTTTGGTGCCAGTAACTCTAGTTGTTGGATTTACCATTCTTGTATGTTACTCATGCTACTTTCAATATAGGCTCCTTAGTTGTTGTGAGCCTTTTTTTGTATTATGATAACAAGGGAAGGAATTCCTGTGTACGATCTCAACCCATCATATTTTAAACATGCAAAAAGTTGCGTTCCGTTTGCTTTGACGTAAGCATTGAAAACCAGAACAAATGATCTTTTCCAAAAAAATTGCAAAAACATTTACCTTTGATTAAAAATTCACAAGACATTTTTTGTACTGGTAAACAGAGATTAATTTATAACCATGTCTACGAATTAATAGGCATTTGCAAAAACATTTTTAGTGCATTGAAATAGAAATAGAAATAGAAATAGAAAAGGGCTTCTCAGGGAGAGTTGACCAAGGAAACATCAGCTAAGTCAGCTAGAAGTAACGAGTAGAGCTCCTCAAGGAGTTCTGATAGAGGGAATACTAACTAAGTTAGCTTCTCAAGGAGCTCTAATAGGTGTTTCATGAAGATCTTCTGGATATCAACATTAGATATCTTAGTGCAACTCAAATTGTCTTCATTTCTCAGAGCAAAATCTCATTCTCGATGTCTATTATACTTTCAAATTTTTCTTACTTGATAGGTTTGGGTCAGATTATACTAGTTCCAAGATTGTTTCTTGGTGAGCTCTGCGGTGCTGAAAAGTTAGAATGTTACCACCTTTGGCAAAATAGATGAAAGAATCAAAGTCCTTAAATATAAGTTGTATGAGATCCAAACCATTCTTGCAAAGGACCAAAAAAAGAGCAAGTAGCGATAGATGAAACTCAAAAACTATATGAACTTAATGCAATGCTTGATGTAGAGGATTCCCTTATGAGACGGAAAGATCAGGTCTTGTGCTTGAAAAATGGAGATAAAAAGACAAGAACTATATAAGCAGCCTTACCCGAAAGAAGAGCCCGAAAGACATTTTCTCTCATTAAAGATGATAACGGCCACATGGAACATGGGGAGATTAGTATCAAGGCAGTTGCATTTTCCCATTTCCTTGACAGATCATATATTGCAATGTGAACAATCATTTTCGGATTGAGAGAGTCCTTACTGAGAATCAGTAGTTAGGATTAATTAGATAGGTTATTATAGATGAAATCGAGAAGGTTGTGCTGAGTTTTAACTGGGATAAAGCTCTGGGTCTAGATGAATTCAATGCTCACTTTTTTTTTCAGGTCTGTTGGGGAATTATCAAATATGATGTGTGCAAAACTGTATCGAACTTCTTTTGAAGTGGAAATTTGTTAAAACAGGTTAGCTCAACTTTCCTTGAGTTGATCCCTAAGGTGAATAACTTGGGAGTCTTTGAGGAGTTCAAACCTATTTCATTGTACAACGTGCTCTTAAAGCTGAACCTGAGGGAAAAACTTCTTTCTTATTGATTAGAAAGGAGAAAGAATGAGTTTTATTTAGCGAGAAGCAGCCAGATATAGGAGAAGAGGCGGTTAGCTTAGGAAATATAGTAATTAGTTAGTTCCACTTGTTGAATAATGTCTCGGCTTGTAGCGGACTTATTCTCGTGGAAAGACATTTCTCTTTAGAAAAACACATAAGATTTGTTTGCTAGACCTAATCACTTAAAAATAATGGTGGCTTGTCAAAAAAAACACATAAGATTTGTTCGCTAGACCTAATCACTTAAAAATAATGGTGGCTTGACTTTTTGGAATTAAAGAAGAACTTCTTCGCGTGGGAAGTGTACGTATAAGGCTATTCGGACTCTGTCTTGTATGAGGTGCGTTGCCATAGTCTCTTTTCCCTTTGCCAGCGGCATGGATTCATCATTGACACGAATCGGATCTTGGCTCGCCAGTTACCAGGTTTATCTGCGCTTTAGCTCCTTGACATGACTCTAAGCCTGGATGAATTTTATAAGCAGTCTTAGTATTAAAGGGAAAAACCAAACCTGCTCTAAGGTTGTCCGTTGTAGTTCTGAGTCAAATACTTTGGGGTGTCCTATCATGTTTTATTGTTTGGTGAGTAGTGTATAAAGACTAAGTTTTTCAGGTAGGTATCTAATTTTTCTGGTGCATTCTAAAGTTAAAATTAATGTTTTGGAGTTGTAAAACAAGACTTGACCATTTCATATTTTGCAAGCAAAGTACTCAACGTAGTGGGAGAATTTTAAATCACATTAATTAAATATGGAAATTTGTGTATGGAAAATTGCTTATGGTTTGATTAATACCAATGATGTGCTTCAAAAACGAAGGTCGATGAATTGTCTATTACCACAGTAGTGTGTGATGTTTAGTCGTAGAGGTGATTGTGAGAGTGTGGATTATTTATTCTTACAGTCTTCTTGGTCCTTTCACTATGGAATAAATTATTTAATTTTATTGGCATTTTTTGGGTTGCTTTGAGGTCAATATCATTTATGCTTGGCATGGATTTTAGGGGGTTGGGAGGACGTAGAAGAGGAAAAGTCCTCTAGCATTGTGCATTTTTCATTGGGTTTTATGGTTGGAGAGGAGTGCGAGAATCTTTGAGGATACACAGGAGGAGGTCGAATGGTTATGGGGTTAGATGCATTTCTTGGCTTCTTTTTGGGCTTTCGTGAAAAGGAATTTGAGAACATTCCTCTTTTTAGCATTACTTTGAGCTAGACAACGTCTAGTGGATTTAATTTTGTTTTTCTAGTTTTTGTGCCTTTCATGATTTTGTTTGATATGCTTTTGTGGGTGGGGCGACTTGTCCACCTTTGTTTGGTTTTGTAATACCTTTTCCTTTTATTAATTATAAAATTGTTGTTTCTTATCGAAAAAAACAACATGAATTCATCTCTAGCCTACTTTCCTTTGTTATTTTGTTGTTAACCAAAGATGATTTTGGATGGCAAAATTAATGAAATATCAGTGTGTTCTTGTTGCCAAGAATTCTAAGCGACACCAGGACTATATATATTTGGCATTATAATTGTGCTTAACCACAGTACAACTTCAAGTACCACCTTGTCTAAAGTGATTGAACGAAAGGCACAACCATATCTGAATTCCAATAACAATTACATCTTGTTTTTGTCTATTTTGACAGTATGTATGAAAGAATGATATTTATTTTATTTATTTATTCCACATGAATTTTATCTCATAAGAGACTGTTGCTGATAATTTTTCATTGCGTCATGTGCAGCCTGGTCATTTTCAAGGCCATACATATGACATAATATCTGCCTTTCAGGTGAGTCTTATTCCACTGCTTTTTTATAATAATTTTTCTGTGGATGGGTTATTTTTAGAGGGGAAGAGGAGAGGATGAAGAGAGAGGATTTGAACAGTGTATTTCTTCTCAATTTTCTTCAGATGGTTGAATTGAATCTGTAAAAAAAAAAAACTACTTTTCGTCTTTTTGTTGCTTCCAGTATCTGGAATGTGGAACCTTGTTGAAGTATTGTCTGGGGACCTTCAAGATTGCAGAATGTATCATACCTTGATTTTTGGCCTTGATGATTCAAGTTGTTGGCTGTTTCCCAACTAATTCAAGTCTCAAATGCCATTCTGTTGTAGTTTTGTGTTTGCACTATTTGGTCTTTCATTCTGAGTTCAGTTGCATACAACCACCGGAGCTTAGGATCTCATCTACCTATCTATCTTTATTTACATGTACATGTATGTAACACCCAATTTAGTCCACATTACTGGTTCAATAGAGGACAACCTCCTACTAAAAACCCGTATGCAAAATAAAAGTAAACCATAACAATTCTATCTTCGGCACACCAATGTCCAATATGGAATTATGCTGAAAAGAGGTAAATTTTTAGCTCATTTGTCGTTGACACCCACAAAGATGCCAAAAAATGAATTCTTTACGATAAACAATCTCCCATAGCTAGAGTAACTCTCTTTTCCTTACGTTAAGCCTATATTTGTGTGTTGTTGCAAAAGCATAGTTACGCAAACTAATTGGCATGAAATTCCAATTTCTAGATTGAGAAATATTTTAAGTCCTAAAACTAAACCTAAAGCTGTATTTAATCCCTTCAAATTTCAAATCGGGAATTGAAACACTAAAAATATATTTTTTTTTGTAATTTTTTATTAGTTTTTTTGCATCAACCCATAAATATGCACGTCACAAGTGNCTCATAAGAGACTGTTGCTGATAATTTTTCATTGCGTCATGTGCAGCCTGGTCATTTTCAAGGCCATACATATGACATAATATCTGCCTTTCAGGTGAGTCTTATTCCACTGCTTTTTTATAATAATTTTTCTGTGGATGGGTTATTTTTAGAGGGGAAGAGGAGAGGATGAAGAGAGAGGATTTGAACAGTGTATTTCTTCTCAATTTTCTTCAGATGGTTGAATTGAATCTGTAAAAAAAAAAAACTACTTTTCGTCTTTTTGTTGCTTCCAGTATCTGGAATGTGGAACCTTGTTGAAGTATTGTCTGGGGACCTTCAAGATTGCAGAATGTATCATACCTTGATTTTTGGCCTTGATGATTCAAGTTGTTGGCTGTTTCCCAACTAATTCAAGTCTCAAATGCCATTCTGTTGTAGTTTTGTGTTTGCACTATTTGGTCTTTCATTCTGAGTTCAGTTGCATACAACCACCGGAGCTTAGGATCTCATCTACCTATCTATCTTTATTTACATGTACATGTATGTAACACCCAATTTAGTCCACATTACTGGTTCAATAGAGGACAACCTCCTACTAAAAACCCGTATGCAAAATAAAAGTAAACCATAACAATTCTATCTTCGGCACACCAATGTCCAATATGGAATTATGCTGAAAAGAGGTAAATTTTTAGCTCATTTGTCGTTGACACCCACAAAGATGCCAAAAAATGAATTCTTTACGATAAACAATCTCCCATAGCTAGAGTAACTCTCTTTTCCTTACGTTAAGCCTATATTTGTGTGTTGTTGCAAAAGCATAGTTACGCAAACTAATTGGCATGAAATTCCAATTTCTAGATTGAGAAATATTTTAAGTCCTAAAACTAAACCTAAAGCTGTATTTAATCCCTTCAAATTTCAAATCGGGAATTGAAACACTAAAAATATATTTTTTTTTGTAATTTTTTATTAGTTTTTTTGCATCAACCCATAAATATGCACGTCACAAGTGAGAGAGATTTTTGGCAGTGTTGTATTGAATTGAATTGTTTGAACAAAAAAAAAAAATTGAATTGAATTGAATTTGGGAATTCTCTCGCCATCTGTTCTTCTCTCTCTGTTCCTCTCCCTTCTTACTTTCGTATGCTTTTTATTTCTCGCATCTCCTACTATTCTCCTTTCTTTTTTATTCGTTGGTCTCTTACCTCTTCCTGCATCAATTGAGATCGAGTGTTTTATACTACTACTACTAGGATCGTTGAGCTTTTGCTTCACAATCATGATGCAGTTCCTTTGTTACTGAATCATTTCTGAACTCTCCAGAGCATTGTGTTTCTTTTTATTTTATTTTTTTAAAGATTCCAGGGCATTGTGTTTCTTAGCCGGGAAGAATGGATGAGAAATGTAAAGGGATTGCGTGGAGAACTGAGCGTTGATTATCTTGTTTTAATTTCTAATTCGGGGATCATTAGGTTTGTTTCCACAATTTAGGAATTTAAATATTTCTATCGTTAGTTTTATGCACATATGAATGTAGGAATTGCTGGCAAATATAGGTGTTGTATAAGGATGATTACGTTTTGTGATTGTGAAAAAAAAATAATAGAATTGAATCCTTCTGTTACTTATCTTTCTTTCTCTCTGATTGTCTTCCTCTCCTACTTTATTATTTTATTCCTCTCTGTTTCTCCTGATTCATTCTCATCCGCTTCTCTCGACTTATCTTATTTGTGTCTCTGTTTCTGGTTCGTATATATGTTTTTGTTTTTCATTGTCCCTTTATGATTGATATGAAGTACTTGTGGGATTAATTTATTATTATTACTTTCAAGAAAATGTTGATTAATCTGTAACAAGTATCTGGCTTGTTCAGAGCATCTGTGTTCCTATGGCAGATTACTGATCTCCGAGATCGTCAATGGAGCTTACTAATTTTTTACTTCTAAATATTATTGTAGGTTTATGGAGAGTATGTGAGTGGTTCCATAAGCGATGAGCAGAGGATGAGTGTAGTTCGAAAAGCATGCCCTGGTGCAGGGGCTTGTGGTGGGATGTATACTGCAAATACTATGGCTTCAGCTATTGAGGCAATGGGGATGTCCCTTCCTTACAGGTAGAAAAATTTCCTTGCACGGTCACTTGTTTAGATCCGAGTCTTTCTCATCTTATTCTTTGGTCTTTCTTTTTTCTTTAAAGCTCATCAACACCTGCTGTAGACTCATTGAAGTTGGATGAGTGCCGCATAGCTGGAAAATATCTTCTGGATTTGATAAAAATGGACTTGAAACCACGTGATATTATCACTCCAAAATCACTACGTAATGCAATGGTCATAGTCATGGCATTGGGTGGGTCTACCAATGCTGTTTTACATTTAATTGCTATTGCAAGGTGAGAAATACGTGGTTCCACACTTCTCCTGAGATACCAATAATGATAAATAGCTCATGATTAGATGTTTGGCAGGTCTGTTGGTTTGCATTTAACTCTTGATGATTTTCAAAAGGTTAGCGATGAGGTTCCATTCCTTGCAGATCTTAAGCCTAGCGGCAAATATGTCATGGAGGATGTACACAAGGTATGCACAATAGTATTCTTTTTCCCACTGGATATGTTCTGGTACTGATGTTAGTTCTTTGTGATGACTGGAATGGTATTACTTGTGTGATAATTCTCAATTATTTGGTTATACACAAGCCACATGGTATAGATTGATTATTTTCCTTGATGATTAAATGAACTTTAACTGATCTAGATTGGAGGAACACCTGCAATCATACGTCACCTGTTGGAACTGGGGTTCTTAGCTGGGGATTGTATGACAGGTATGCATATTGAAAATCCATATATGCATTAGTAGCAACAATGGTTTGTTGTGCTTTTATAATTATTACATCAGGACTTTTCTTCTCTCTCTTTTTCTTCTTTTTGTTTTCTTTTTTTCCCCATAGTCACAGGGAAGACGCTGGCTGAGAATGCGAACCTGTTCCCTACTTTGGCTGAAGGTCAGGTAAGGAATCCCCCACCCTGTATTCTCTTGCAGTAATGTTTCCGTTACTTTTTGTTGGTTGATGAGGTGCTACGTAGGATCTGAATAATTTTTTTTTTTTTAATTTTTGTTCTATTTGCCAGCAAATAATAAGACCATCGACAAATCCCATTAAGGAAACAGGCCACTTACAAATATTATATGGAAATCTTGCACCAGAGGGTTCTGTGGCAAAGATTACAGGGAAAGAAGGGCTATACTTCTCTGGTTCTGTGTTTTGTTTTACTATCAAATTATTTTGATCCTGTGTCTATTACATGTTGGGCACTCTTTCACTGCACTTATTAACTTGAGCTGATTTACTGAAGAGATGATGATTTTAAAATTTATTCAGGTCCTGCTCTTGTCTTTGAAGGAGAGGAATCTATGATCATGGCTATCTCAGAAAACCCTATGAGTTTTAAGGTACTACTGTTCTTTTAAATTGGATAAGGTACTACTGTTCTTGACCACCTCTTTTGTTTGTTTGTTATTTGCTGGCTGCATCAATCACTTTAGAGATGGGAATTGCTGATGATCAAGATGATAATTCAAGAGGACATGAGTACTAATGATCAAGATGATAATCCAACAATCCCTAAATACAGTTGAATAACAATTGAAGCCATTGTAACACAAGAGTCTAGTAAATAATGTTCAACATTTTAGTAGCATGACATGTGATACTCAGCCTCACCAAACCTCACTGTTGGAATATATTGGCATCTGGACTGTTGGCTACTGGTAAGTTATTAATGGGTGCACTTTATACAAAATAGTCACAAAATGATGAGCATGACTACTTCAGAATACATAGGATAAATAATCTTCTCAGCGAGATTCAAAATGACCCACCCAATCCTCCATCGAAGCCACTACGTATTGTTGGAGATATAGCAACCTAGTTTAATAGGATTTATTAAAATTTTCCTTTTGACCTTTTATCCTTATTGTAATTTTCATTGGCTATATATACGGGGACTCTACACTTAGTTTATATCCCTTTTCACTCACGTTTATTCCAAGTTGGTATCAAAGCCACAACCCTAACACTAACCCTAGCCCCTCCTCCACGTTGCAGCCATTAGCTGCCACACTGCCACCAGCCCAGCACCGATATCAATCACCACCAAACCAGAACCAGAACCTCAAACTCCACCAAACCAATACCCAGCAGCACTGAAACATTATCCCCAGTGCCCACCGAAAGCAACAGCAACAGCAACTCACCCAAGTAGCACCGGCAGCAACTACGTCACCCCAAGAAGCCACCAATTGCCCAAACCTATACTCCATCGAGATAGCCACTGCCACTACTACCTAGAAGCCACAGACTGCCCAAACCCATACAACCTGCCTACCAACACCGACAGCCAAAGCAAAACAAAACATACCAGCAAGCCACCGACATACCTAGATCCACCGACTAAAACATACTAGCTAATCCACCGACTCACATACTAGCTCACCGACTGCCCAGGCCACGCCGACAATAGCTAACATCAACCCAGCAACCACGGACAGACCCAGCCCATTAAACATATACCAAACCAGCCCACCGTCCAACCAAACCATATACAGCCCACAACCCAGCGAACCCAAAAATCGCAATCAGCGACCCAGCCTGTCTAGCCCATTGCTGGGTCTCAATTTTCGTTGTGGCTTCGTCCTAGGACTTTTTTAGGAGGGTGCGATGATCTGTTTTTGATGCAGTAGATCACTTATTCATCTTTATTGGATTTCTGGGCACCGTGACTTTGATTATTTAGGAGCTTTCTGGACCTTCTTTATTTGTCACTACTGTTCGACTAGAGGTATATTATTCTATTTTATTTTGTCCCTCTATTTATTTTAGAGTTGTTTTTCTATCATGAGTGCCTTAGTATTATTAATGATATGACTACTACTGAGGGAGTTGAGATCCCTACCGTTGAGACATCTGTTAGTACTTCCATCGGGTATAGGGGTCGACAACGCTCGGCCCAGCGCCGTTAGGGTAGCCCACATCAGCGTAGATTTGAGAATTCTCGTCACTGTGCGGTTGTTTTCTTATTTGATTCGTGTTATTTGCAGGACCTGAGTATCAGGAGGATTATTATCAGGGGATATGAGAGAGATGAACTGTATTATTTAGGCGATCTGCCCCCGGTTTCTCCACCTCCATCATCTGCTTTGTCTTTATCTACTCCTAACTTGCATGCTAGTATTTTACCAAGTACTTGTCGTTATGATTTTTCATCACAAACTGTTTAGTTGTGGCATGACCATTTTGGGCATACAAATTTTAAATATTTATGTATGTTATTTCCTGCTTTGAACAAAGCTTGTGTTAGTGGTAAACTTGACTGTGTTATATGTTCCCTATCAAAACATGTTCAGACCAGTTATATTCCTCACATGCACTAGTCACCCAAACCATTTGACCTAATACGCTCGGATATTTGGGGACCCTCTCCTGTTACTCCTCTGTCACGTGCCCGATATTATGCATTTATAAATGATCATACCCATTGTACTTGGGTCTATCTTTTGCATAGGAAGTCTGATGTACTTCCTGTCATCACTCAATTTTTTCAGATGATTAAGATACAATTCGATGTCATTATTCATACTCTTCGTTCAGATAATGCCAAAGAATATGTGTCTGATGCCTTAGTGTCACACCTTTCTTCTCAGGGTATTCTTCAATAGCTCACTTGTCCATATACTCCTGAGCAAAATGGAGTTGCTGAAAGAAAAAATAGGAGTATGATAGGGATGGTACGTTGTATGCTTAGAGGTATGGGTGTACCAAAATCTTATTGGCATTTTGCTATTCTGACTTCTACTTTTTTGTGTAATCGTACACCGAGTCGTGTTCTTCAGCATAGGGCTCCCTTACAGGTCTTATTCCCTGAGTAGACACTTTTTTCGGTCCTCCCTCGTGTTTTTGGCTGCACATATTTTGTTCAGGATCGATCTCTTACTCGTCATAAGCTTGATGATAAAGCGATTCATTGTGTCTTTGTGGGCTATTGTCATCAGTCTAAGGGGTATCGGTGTTATGATCTTATTAGACGACGTATGTATCACAGTCTACATGTTACCTTCCTTGAGCATATTCCTTATTTTTCTTCCAGTCCTGTGCTTATATTTGTTATGGTGATCTTTCTCCTATATTTTGAGCTTATAGTATGGCCTTATCAGATACGTCGATTCTTTGCTCTGTTTCAGAGGCTATGCGGGAGCCCCAGTGGATTCTTGCCATGCAGACAAAGATGGACGTTCTTCAGCGTAATCATACGTGGGATCTTGTCTCTTTACCTTTAGGGGTGAAGCCTGTTGGCTGTCGTTAGGTTTATACCCTGAAGTTTCTTGCAGATGGTACTATTAATCATTACAAGGCTAGGCTTGTGGCGAAGGGTTTTACTCAGGTACCAAGTCGTGATTTTGGTGCTACCTTTGCTCCCGTGGCAAAATTGACTACTGTTCGATTGATTATTTCTTTGGCTGCGGAGTACTCTTGGTCTCTTCATCAGTTGGATTTGAAGAATGCATTTCTTCACGGTGATCTGGACGAGATTATTTATATGGATGCACCACCGGGCTTTCGTGGTGAGGGAGAGTATGCTGAAAAGGTATGTCGGCTGCGTAAGTCTCTTTATGGATTGAAACAGTCACCACGAGCCTAATTCTCTCGCTTTAGTGATGTAGTTGTACGTTTAGGGTTCACCAGAAGTAATTCTGATCATACCTGCTTCATTCGACGGAATATTTCTGGACAATGTGTCATCCTTTTAGTATATGTTGATGATATTATTATTACTGGATATGATGTTTCTGGGACTGTGCAGGTTCAAGATAGACTTTTGCTGTGAAGGACCTTGAATTTTTGCGATATTTTCTTAGGATTGAGGTTACCCGTAGCAGCAGGGGTATTGTTCTTTCTCAGAGAAAGTATGTTTTGGATCTTCTCTCAGACACTGGGATGCTGGGGTGCAAACCGGCATTATCACCCATGATTCCAAACCTGAAGCTTACTGCTGAAGGTGAAGAGTTGAGAGATCTGACTGTCTATCAGAGGTTGGTAGGTAGACTTATCTACCTAGCCAACACTAGGCCAAACATTTCCTTCGCTGTCAGTCGAGTTAGTTAGTTCATGCACAGATCATGTTAGCCTGATCTTGATGCAGTTTATCATATTCTTCGGTACATTAAGTCTTGTCTTGGACTTGGGTTGTTCTATGCATTAGGATCTCAGATTGGTTCTCTAGCCTGTTATTCAGATTCAGATTATGGGGGAGCGTGTGACGGTCGATCTACTACAGACTTCTGTGCTTTTCGAGGGACTTATCTTATCTCTTGGAGGAGCAAGAAGCGGTCAGTGGTCTCTCGCTCGTCAACAGAGGCAGAGTATCGGGCACTGACACTTGGCACTTGTGAGATTATTTGGCTATGATCGATTCTTGGTGAGTTGGGATTTCCAATGACTTCTTCATCTACATTATATTGTGATAATCGATCTGTTGTTCAGCTTGCTTCTGACTCAGTATTACACGAGGGGAAGAAGCATATGGAGATCGATGTTCACTTTTTTCGGGAGAAGATTAGCAGTGGTATTATCACTCCATCATTTGTGAGGACCAGTGATCAAGTTGAAGATGTTTTCACCAAACCTGTCACTTTATCCATTCTTCGGGACTCCGTTGTCAAGTTTGGCTTAGTTGACATCTTTGCGCCTAGTTTGAGGGGGAGTGTTAGAGATATAGCAGTCTAGTTTAATAGGATTTATTAAAATTTTCTTTTTTACCTTTTTATCCTTATTAGAATTTTCATTGGCTATATATACGGGGGCTCTACACTTAGTTTGTATCCCTTTTCACTCACGTTTATTCCAAGTCGTATAAACACCAAGTTGCCCAAAGCATATAATGCAATTCCATTTCAAGCAGTTTATTAATCATCATTAGATTTTTCATTCCAAACTCACATATTTTCCTCTCTTTTTATTTTTATTCCCTTAAACACCCATTCTGTCTAATTTGTTTTAAACACAACACACTGCACATGATGCACAAACATAAATTTTTAGCCTACTCATTATATATTCTCTCGGTTAGGATTTAACTAACTACCCTCCATACAAGGAATTTCATTCCCCAAGTTCACCATCTTGTGAACTTTTAACACTGCATCTTTGCATCGACCTGAAAACTCATTTTTTGTATCCTTACTTATCAACTACCCACACAATCCCGCAAGCCCTCACCGTAAGTATTTACCTAGGACCATTTACAAGGTCTTGAGCTTATGCTCAAAAATCATAGCAATTTGCCTCCATTTTTATGCTATAGAACTCTAATTTCAAGAAAAAAAAATCAATTATAATAAAATATTTTAGTAATTAAATTTCAATTTCCACATATAGTGAATTGATACAAAAAATATATAATCCAAAGCACTACAATCCTTCAATTTTCCAACCCCAATCTCAATTTTTGGTTAGAAATCAACTTGCAGCTGATGGGGTAAATTGATGAGAAGATGAATAGTTGAGTAAGCAAAGTTATCTGCTATAAAATAGGAATTATAT